GATCAAAGTCTTGGGAACCTCAGAACTTGAAGTTGGTGTCAAAGGTGAGGGTGGGTTTGGGGACTCCCTAACTTATAGGTGCAATCCAATTTTCCCCTCTCTGAAATTTACCCATCCTGAATGCCACTGCTTTGGTCCTGCTCTTAGCTAGAGCTAAGTTAATAGCTGATAGACTCCCCTTTGTTCCAGGCCAGTTACTGAAACTTCACAAAGGCCTTAGTGACTTCAATCCAAGGGAGAGACTGAGGGTAGGGCTATTGGTCTATGCTTGGCCATGAGAGAAGCAGCACAGAAGAGGCTTTATGTGATGATGGGTAGATAGTTGTCAATTTCACCCAAGGTAGGCTGGCCTTCAGCACTCTGACTGTAAGGCAAAAGCATTATCTACGTCCCTTGTTTGGTTGGATTACCCCAAAAAACACTTTTGCTTATTAAATAAAACAAATTGACCCATTTAATGATAAAATGGACTGTTGAATGGTGCTACTACATCAGTAGTATCAGTATGAACATGCCTAACATTTGCAGGTCCCAGTGTGAAGTAGGGATAGATTTAAAGAAACAACTTCAGCTGGATGTGAGGAATGACTTCAAGAAGTCTGTTATACAACATGGTGACTAACATGAATGACAATGTGTTGTATTTTGAAAATCATTGAGAGTAGATTTAAATGTTCTTACTAGAAAAAAAGTCATAAATATTTGAGATAATACATTTGTCCCATCTTTGTGGACAATGCTGAACACATCCAGACAGTAACAATAGTAACAGCCGTATTCATGGACGGACTCTGTGCTGGCCACAGGACGGTTTTCTCATGTAATCCATGCAGCAATTCTGCTGCTGTGCATTACTCTTAACTTTCTTCCATGGAGGAGAAATGGAGGCAGAGGGAGCTTTAGCGACTTGCCTGAAGGCTGACTCCATCCAGCATTGGCTCCCGTAGTAACTCTGCTCCCTGCCTTCCTTGCACTGTGTTACCTCATTTTTATGTTTCACTGGGAGCAGAGGGAGGTGCCCAGATATCAATAGGCTACTCAATTTGTCTGCATTGAAATCAGGGAACAAATATCTATTAGTTGGTTGACATGAGGAGGCACAGCCACTGCTGTGGGGTGGGGGAGTCAAGGTGGAATGAGGACAGTCGGAAACAAACTAGGCTTCTAGAATTTTATTCAGTGTGAGAGTCTTGACCTACAGGATTTTGTTTAGTACTTATAATCCTAGGAATGATTTTCAACTTTATTTCATAGATGACGTAAAGTTAACCTCAGGTTGTAAACCCCTGCTCTAACCAAAGGTATATCATGGGCTGAATTTGTCCCCCCACCAAATTCACATGTTGAAGTCCAAATCCCCAGTACCTTAGAATGTACAGGGCCTTTATAGAGATGGTTACGTTAAAATGAGGTTGTAAGGTAGGTCCTAATCTAGTATGACTCGTGTCTTTACAAGAAGAGGAGTTTGGACCCAGACACATATAGAGGGATGACCGTATGAAGGCATATGGAGAAGGGGGACAGCTACAAGGCAAGGAGAGAGAGGCCAGGATGAAGCCACCCCTGCCAACACCTTGATCTCGGACATCCAGCCTCCAGAACTGTGAGAAAATAAATATCTCTTGTTTATGCCTCCCAGTTTGTGGCACTTTTTTATGGCAGTCCTATTAATACAAGGTACAGTGGGGCTTTGGACCCAGGTGTGACTAACTCCAAGGCCCTGGCTGGTCCTTTCTGTGTACCATGGAAAAGATTAGCCAGAGATGTGGGAGGCAGTTAGGCAGGAGCCAGATGAGTGATGTGCATGGTGATTAGATTTGATGCAGGAAATTGTGAGGGCTAGCATGGCCTCCTGGATGAGTTGAGTATTGGGCTGGGTAGGAACATTTGGATGTCTTAGACACAGATGGGTGGCGGGGAAGCAGAAGGGCATTCCAGGCCACTGAGTGGCTGGTTATGCTGCATCCCAGAGCCACCACCCCTGCTGTCTGGATGGACATCTGGCCAGTCAAGCACACATGTGGCCACTGTGCTGAGGAATGTTGGCCCTGATTGCACATGGGGAGATGGTCTGTAAATCAGAAGTTTCTTTTATGGACAACTTCTTCCACTCAAGCCCAGAAGAGGACCAAGAACAAAGAAGCTGGCAGCTTCTCATATTTTTTAAGAGGCAGAGAGTGTGAGACCAGGAGGCTCTGGCAGAAAAAGGACAGTTAGTCCTAGAATTGGGCCCTGGAAAAAGAAAGCTGACAACAAACCAACAAACCAACAGGGTTGCACAGAGTATAGGAACAAGGGAGGGGAGGGGTCCCCAGTCTGACACGCAATGTATCAAATATAATAAGTCCTGGGAGACCAATCAAATCCCCTGTCACCCCAACCCTACACTATGCCAAATAGTAAAAGCAGATGTTTTGCAAACTGGTAACAACTCCGAAGCCTTTTCTGGTGATGGGTAAGAGAGGCAGAGACTGCTGGAGAGTTAGGAGGAGTGGAGAGAAAGCTTTTGGGAGTGGTCCAAATATTAGTGCACCTGAAACCTTATTCCAAGCTTCTCTAACAATACAAAAAGAGGGATTCAACTGAGTTTGGGCGTGGAGAGAAGATCTATTGTAACATGGAAGAAATTCAAACACAATAGGAGAACAAAGTGACATTTCAAATTGCTGTGATTGATTCAGCCCCATTGCCTGACCCATTCTTTTCAAATACCAAGCTGACAGGGCCAGTTGCAATACTTCATAGTGGTGGGGAGGGGGTATGGAGGAGAAGACACTCATTATGCCTTTGGAAATTTAGTCTCTCCAGGCTTCATCCTGAGCCTTTGGCTTTCCTCTCTGTGGCAGGAGAAACCACCCCTAGCTTCCAGCACATTCTTGGTAAAGGTGATCACTAGGGGTGGCACAAGCTTCCAAAGAAGCCCTGAATTGCTCTCCAGCCTAAAGGCAGCACCCGCAGAGCAGGCTATGTTTCTTCCAGCTGGTGGCCTTGCATGGAGGTGCTGACGCATTGTGCCCTGCCCAATACCTTCTTCAGGTAGAAGAGAGTCTAAAGCTTTGAAAAGCACTAGAATAGGAGCCAGGTGGCTCAAGTCTAGGCTTTAGGCAATTTATGAATCCTCTCTGCTTTGTATTCCTGATTTCCCAAATGGGGAAGACATTACAAGAGTTCTGTGTTCTTTACAGAGTTTCTCATTTCATTTTTGATTCCGTCCACATACCTTGTGGTACAGCAGAGAACACTGCAAAGTCCCTACTTGCACGAGCATATCTTTGATGGAGTGGATGCGGGGGAGATGATAAGTGAGCAAATGTGTCATGCAGTTATGGTGAGGACAGAGTAAGTTTGCAACTCTGGAGCACCTCTGAACAGATTAGGGGCATGACTGTGCCCATGTACAGTGCTGCCATGATGTCATTGGAGAGCAGCTGGATGAGGAAATTCTTCGAATCCTGGTGTGCAGAAGTGAACTTGATGGAATACTCTCTAAAGGTGAGGAAGAACAAACAAAAATAAGATGTCTGTACCAGTTTTGTTGTGGAATCTATTGTGATTGTATTTTATGGAAACAATCTGGGCATGTGCAACATGTTTCAACTTTAATGGCATTAAAACCATTGATCTTCCAGTCATATTCCCATGTAGATCTGTCATTCTAATGCATGCATTGAGAGCTGGGCTCAAATATCTATTTTGTTATTTTTATCAATGGGAAGGGAAGGGACATTTTTTGCTTAACTTTCAAGATAATGCAATACAATAATCAAGACTTTTTCTTATGTAATGTCACCTAATTCTCATCTGAACTCTACAAGGTAGATACTAGTATACAACTTTATGGATGAGGGATATTCAATAATTTATCTAGAATTTTGCAGTTACTAAGTGGTAGAATTGATATGTAAATTTTAAAGACTTTGAGTAATCCTTTTAAACTCATCACTCATTTGAAGTGATGAGAACGGGAATTGAACAGTGGTCCAGGGTAAATAAATATTTCATCTCATATTATTTCTGGTTTGATGGTGTCTCTTTTGTCATCATTGAGACCTTTGCCTTCGTTTTAATTGATTTCTGGTATTCCACTAGAAAAGTGCCTTAACGACTCACCTAGAATTATCTCAAAACAGGCAGAATGCTATTGTTATGTTCAAGCATCAAGTTAATTAAAACAATGACCCCCTTCTTGGTCAATGCTGACCTTACTGTTGGCAAAATAAGACCTAAGAGTTCTGAGGAAGGGGATCCATGGTGAGGGTGAGAAAAAATGCCAGGCCGGGTCTCATTTCTTTCTGTTGATTAAAATTACTAAACTCATAGGGATTTATATAAATGGGAACTATTATAGATGAGCTATATCTGAATTTCAGGAAGTTGTTGACTAAATCTCTTAGAATCATACCTGAACATTTAGAAAATAAAAGTTCTTAACCTCCAAAGTTAAATGTCTTCCTTTAATCCTGATATCTTAACTCCCTCCCTTATTTATTGAAAATTTTATTTAAAACAGTTGATTATTTTTATTATAAAATATTATTAAATTTCTCAGTGACTTTCTATTTAACCTACTTCAATTAGATTGTTGCCTCATAACTTGACCACCAAGATTATCTATATGACCAATGACCAATGGCCAAAACAAGAAAATATTTCCAGACTCATTCCCTTGACCTCCTTGGTCAGTAGTTGATGCTGATGATGAATTCATACTTCTTAAAACTTTTACGTTGCTCCCAAAGGCCTAACCACTCCTGTGTCACCTGGGTGACTCTTGGCAATTCTCTTTGCATGGCTCCAACATACACAGGTTTTGGTTACCACAATTTAGCTAAATAAAACCAATCCCTATAACATGATAACATGATTCAAAAACATAATTTAAATTTTAGTTCCTATGACATATTGGCTCTGACTGATCGCATACAATACAAACATCATTGTTACTTCAACATTCCACAAATTATTACATAAAAAGCAGACATGACCATGATTAGAAACGCATACCATTTCTTTTGAAATCTAAGGGGATTCGTCACTGCACAGACAGCAAAACATATAGTTGTGTTGCCTGCTTGTTTTCCAATGATAAACTTACATGATATTTGATAAAAATAGATAATCAAAAGAGGAAATTGGCCAACAAAGATGAAAGTGCAGTGAAAAACCAAAATGTGATCATGCTGGAAATGAAATTTTAGTTAAATGTAAATGGGATTCAAGAAAAACAAGTTAACCATTGGGATGTGGACACTGAGGCTTTGCAAGAGACTCTAAAAGTGCAGCCAGAGGAACTTAGTGAAGACTTACATCATACATGAGGAAAGTGGCTGTTACAAAAAGGATAAAGATGTCCCAGAGGAAGTGACATAAGCAAAGAGCTTCACATTTAAGGAATGCTCTGAGATATTTCACAACATGGAAGGCATAAAGGATAAAGTGTTGGACACTGATTCAAACGAAAATTCACCAAGGCTCAGAAAAGATGATCCCCTGTACCAAGTTATTTCACTAGAATAAGGTAAGCACTCTCAGTAGGATTTTATTTTTACAATGAAATGAAAGCACTTTAATTAATGCTTCAAATGTGCAAATTACAGTGTATTAAGTATTAGTTATATAACTTCTTTTCATTTTTCTATACAGTTATACAGTTATAGCTGACAGTAAAGAGTTTTTAATGTTTTAAATGTTTTGATAAAAATGTTTAAAGATCATTAAACAAATGTAATTTTTCCCCATTGATTGCTTAGATTGTTTTGCATGATTTCAACTTTGCAGTCATCTGTATAGCCCTGTGCTACCATACAAAGAAGGACTGCCTGTATTAGCCATTTCCAAGTTAGCATAACTAATTTTACACATTACATAAACCCCAAGCTGTCTCTTTCTCCTGAATTCTTGAGTCCAGTTATAGTGACTGGGACAGAGTGAGTGGCCAATGAATGTGCTTCTCTTGTTCGCTCTACTAATTATTTAAGCCATCATAGGCCCCTTTCCCCCTTTCCTCTGCTTCTAATTAGCCCCAAGTCCTGCCTAGTCTGTCTCCTAAACTTGGCTTGAATCCAGCCCTCTTCTTGACTCCCACTGTTTGGTCTTAGTTAAGGTCCTTATTTTCACTATCCTGCAACCACTTCCTAAATGTTCTTTCCACCAGTCTCCATGTTAACTACAGTGCAACCTTCACACAAATGCCAGAGCTATTGACCTAGAAAAGGAATCTGGTTCCATCTTTCTATTTTGCAAAAACTGCTATTGACTGTCTGTTGTCCTTAATGAGTGGAATGTCTCAACATTTCTCAAAAAGTATTCTGCCCCTTGACTCCTTCATGCATTTCCTTGTGATGATTCCTCCTTCTGGGGCTGCCTTCTCCCTCTCCTTATTTGGGCTAACTCCACTTACACTTTAAGATTCGTTACAAGTATTTTCTATACAGGTGGAAGTCTTGCTGGTATTTTAGTCACTGTTTGGAACTTTAGTTACTGCTTTTTCTGTGGTTCCATAATGCTTTAGAATTCTATGGCATGTTTGTCATGGAATTTTATAACGTATTTATTTATATAGCCGTATTTCCTAGTAGACTATAACTCCTCAAGGTGAAGACCATGTCTTATTCCAAGCTTTCGTACAGTGAAACAATAGCAGCAAGAACATCAACATCAATAATACTCCTTATAATTAAGAAGAAGGAGTTTTCTGTGGAACAGCAATAACAAAATAGTAACCATATACAACCTTGGTAGGTTCAATAATTTTATAAGGACGTGCTAGAAAACTTTCAACATACATGTATTTCTCCTAAACTACTAAGCAATGATGACCATTCTCCATGTGATAAATCTAGCTCGAGGGTGTTTGATATCTAAAAGTTGAAATAGCTTCTTTTAGATATCAGTGACTCCAATAGATGTATTTAACTAATAGATGTTTAAGCAAGACAATGAAATATCTTGGTAATCAAAGGCACATTGAAGTTTAAACACACCTCTCTAGAATGAGGTCCTGAGTGGGCATTTACATTTCCATGGAAGACTCACTGAGGTAAGTGGCCTCACCCTCCTCTTTCAGAAGATTCCTCTACAAGAGTCCCTCTGTGATCAAGGTCTGATCCATGGCTCCTGCCCAGGAGTGTCCCTGGACATGTTTATGTGGTAGAGGCAAAGGAAAAGCAGAGAAACACATTCCTGTCTGTTGCTCAGAATATAAATCTGTCATGGGAGCCCTCCTAAGACAGTTTTGCCAGGGAGTAATGAAGTGAGGGAATCTGTAGGTGACCAGGGATGACACAGTAAACTCCAAATAATTCAATATGATTAGGGAATTAGCAAGGACTGAAGTGAGCTGGTGAGAAGAGATGCATAAATTTCCCCTGGCGTAAATGAGCCATGGATCAGCCTATCCAGGGAAGAGAGGCTGCTGTCTAAAGTGGGCTCAGGTTTTTAAAGTGATGCATCTTTGAGCAAATCCAAGGGATTGGCCTTTGAAGATGAAGTCAGCTTGACAGAAGAGCGGCGTCTACAGAATCAGAAAAAGTTCTATCTGCAGATTGGCTGGGAGCATGTGTGTGGCTGCTGCCCAAGCCACTGGTACAAGATGGCAGGCTCAGGGAGCAGAAGCTGGCAATTATTCGGTGGCTACATTTTTCTTCTTATCTCTGCATTAGGAATCCAACAAACTTTTGCCGCACATTCACCTTTATATTACAGGATTTGTTTTCTCTGAGACCAAATCACCAAAAATATTATTTGTCATATTCATAATGTTAATAAAATGTTTCAAAAAACATTTTAAAAATTTGTTTGCAAAGTGCTTCATGCACATATATCTTATTTGAGTCTCGCACTAACCCAGTAGACAGGAAATACAGTAGGCACTGACCCTGAAACTTTTTAAAGTTGTAATTCTTTCTTTCTGCAAAAATCTTGTGTCTACTGAACAAATTCAGAAAATACAGATGTTAAGGAAAAGAATTCAATCACCTATAATCCTATCATAAAGCTATGTATCATTCCCTTTTAATATACGACTTTATATTTTACTTATGTGTACTATTTTACAAATTTCAATGTATTGCTTTTTATTCTTTATTATTCATTCTGAAAATATTCAGACATCAATAAATAGACACTTATATAATCATTTTTAAAGACTGCATGCACATACTATTCTACTGTATTAACACAGTTTGATTTAACCTATCCCCTAGTGTTAGATGTTTAAATCATGTTAATTAATGAAAATATTTAAAATATTTTATGTATTAATCAATCAAGTCAGTTATCATTATATTGTATATCAGCACACAATGATTATGCAATTAGTAAAATAGTATTACATTAAGTAAATACTTACATTCAAAATCATAATGAGATTAGCATCTTTGTGACTAACTCATCAGGCACATCCACGATCATTTCCTAGACCTTTTAAATCAGGTAGATCCTGCAATGATGCAGACTTAACCATAACCCGCAGTTGATGAAAATGAACCTCAGATATTTCTGTTCTCTTCCTGGAATTGCAAACTATCTCTCTTTGCACTCATCATTGTTTCTCCTCCTTACTGAATTTCAGCAGCCATCCAGCTTTTAACATCTTCAGCATTAAGTCGAAAACAAGTTTCCTAATTGTTACACACACCAGGCATTATATTATACACTAGTGCATAAGATACAATGCATGGGAGCTGGTCCCTGCCTTCAAATTGCACGCAATTCATCTGAGAATACAAACGAGAGGAGGATGATCACAATACCATCTTTAAGTGCTGTGTGATTCCAGAGAGCAGGTTGTGAACCAGATTGAGTAGATAAAGAAGCTGCTCAGAGAGCTGATGGGCCACGTATGCTGCACCTGGAGCAATGACTATCATCAGCTGGAACCTGCAGGGGGGTGGGGTAGGGAGAGGGTGTCACTTCCGGCATATGAAAAGCAGTTTTCACAATATTCCAAAGGAGATGTGAGGATGACCCACTTATTGGTGCTACCTCATTTGTTGCAGCAGCTCAGAAAACCTAGGTCAAGCATGGAAGGCGTCTTCCTTCACAGAGATGTGGCGTGAGCACAAGATCTGTGATAAGTTAGTAGGAGAGCTTCTAGCCCTTGTAGGTGATTTTGAGTGTCAGGGCTACATGAATTATATCCCAGCATGTGATTTTTCTCATTGTCGGTCCTGCTTGAAAAGTTTCAAGAGTATATGAGATGTGCAAATTACATACTTATTTTTATTAAATGAGGTAAGAATGGTGTCGAGAAACTTCATACTAGTAGAATTGTGTTGAGCCTTGGTTAATGCCAAATCAATGTTGTTAAATAGGTGGTTAGTTGGCATTTTGAAAATAATATGGTGCCCTCTAGTCCTCAGCACATGTTCACTAGGAACACAGCACACCAAACTAATGCATTTCCTTTCTATTCAAAAAATAATGGTACACAAATGGTACATCTTGAGCACAGTAGGAGGACTCTGATTTCAGCAAAGCATTGGCTAGAATATTTTGCATTGTCTGTGGAGGTAGGAGACAACTTGTTAAATGGTAGGTAATGTGAGGATAAAAGGTAGTGTGGAAACAAAAGATGGGGCTTTGAAAACAAAATAGTTGCAACATTATACTGTCTTAACAGAAGTTTACAATTGCTGTTGGGGTGAGTTAGCCATCTTGTGCTTTATGATGGTCAAATTGCACCCGATGAAGTAAATTTTACCATAGATACCACATTAGAGGAGGAATACAGATGTACTAATTTTCAGAGATGAAGAATCAGGGCACAGTGCCATATAGAGAAGATACTAGAACTATTGTGCATGGAGAAGAGACATTTACAGGAAGTAAAGTGTCAGTCTTTCAGTTACAATTTAATTTCAATTCAATTACAATTCAATTTATGAAATGACGTCATTTTTCATCAATTGTGAAGAATTCTTAGCTATTTGTGTCTTTGAATGTTGCTTCTATCTCTTTCGTTTATCTCTCCTTCTAGGATTTCAATTAACTATCATGCTATTAAAGCTGTTCATTTGTGGTTCTATTACATGGTTTTGCAGTTATAGAACTTCTACTAGATTTGATGTTTTTAAAAATATTTTTATTTCTCTAATAAAATTCTCAATTATGCCTTTTATATTTTTGAACATAAAAAGCATAATTATTTAAAAGTCTTTACCTGATAACTCCAATATCTGGACACTCTATGGATCTGATTCTATCATTTGTTGTTTCTACTGGTTATTAATCATTTTGCCTTATATCTTTGTATACCTGGTTTTCTTTTTATTGTGTACTCTACATTGTACTAAAAATTGTTTGTGAAAAGATGTTGAGACCAAAGATGACGTTCTCTTCCTCCAGAAAGGGTTTTGTTAGTTCTGCCAGACTCCAAGGGCACTAACAATTAGGACCACTTTAATTCAGTCTTATAGTTTGAGATTATAAGGGCTAGTTAGATCAGGGGCCCCCAACCCTGGGGCGTAGACCAGTACTGCTCCACGGCCTATTAGAAACCAGGCCACTGGGCACGGT